ATTTTATTTTGATGAGTCTATTTTTTGTCGAAAGCAAATGTGAAAAATCGTATTAAAATTCGTGACAGTATGCTAACGTGACTTAAGCGTGTGACCGATTTCCGGTCACACGCCAAAGGTCATACGATCTTGTGCGATGTTTATTATCAGCCGACGAACGATTGAAGTGATGAATGGTTTTCAAAATCGAAGTCATTAGTTTGCGATGAATTTTCAATCTTTTGGCCTCCTGACTGAAGTAAAAACTCTTGCAACTCTCGCTTCCAAAGGACCGCAGTGACGTGTTGTGACTTTATTTCGATTCACGGCCGGATTCTGGCGCAGTCGCTGAGCAAACGTACGTTTGTCTTTTGGACCTTTTGGCTTAAAATGATGGATTTTGTGACTCAAACCGACGCAACAGAAGTTGGAAATAACTTTCCTTGCCGTAAAAACGTGTTACAAGCAATGGTGAGTAATCCTTTCATGTAAAACCTTTCTTTTTAGTTTGACAACCGTCCGCAAGCCGTCTAATTTGCATAAATTTCCCAATTCAATTGCTCTCACCGCTTGCTTTGGTGTCAGGATGGTATTTGATTTCCAGAGCTAAAACTTTCCAGTAAGTTAGTACAAAAGCCAAGGTTCTATTTTATATTGATTTTATGATCAAACGGCATATACCAGAGGCCTTTTTTAATAGTCAAAGTTGGCCTTCGTTTTCTAGCATGTCTAACGTCACAAATATGACCTCTTTAGACTTGTCGATTATAAAAATATAAGACATTGTTTTTCAAATTTTCTTTTAAGGTTTTCAAGAGTAAGAACAAAATAATAATTCGGTGAAGTTTCAGTGTCAGGGAATGTTTCTTACGCGTTCACCCTTCTCTCGAAGTTGCCATTGCATCCTGCCGTGTTTTGTTCGAAAAACAGGAATAAAATCGATTTTTCAAACTTTTTTTAATTTCTCCTTTAAAATGAATCGTTTGAACCCAAAACTATTTTTCCTTAAATTAGGTCACTAAAAGGGATGTTTTGGCAAAATAATAAAAAATTCGATTTTTTGACGAGTGTCTTGCGATTCTCGATTTTCTCAGAAAATGGCTCTTAATTATTACACAGTCAAACCTCTTTAATACGGACACCAAAGGGACCAAACCAAGTGTCCGCTTTACAGAGGTGTCCGTATTATAGAGGTAGGGAATGTATGATTTTTAGCATTTCTGGGACCAAACAAACTATCTGTCTTATAGAAGTGTCCATAAGAAGAGGTTAGACTGTAATATATAGATTTAGCCAGGGCTAAAAGCGAGGCTCCCATTAGTAAATTTATAATTTAAATTAAACAATAAACTTGTATTCGAATTCCACAATTCAGTTAACTTTAGAGCACATTTATGTGACTTTTGAGGGAAAGGCTACCTGATTTTAGAGAAAAATAATTTGCAAACAGCCCAAGAGTGAACCAAATCTTACATCGAGTTGATTGCCTCATATGTACACTCAAAAACTGGTAATCATCTTTTATCACATTTAAGAGCCGTAATGGCTATTGATCACCGTAGATCAATTAGGCTTAGAAAAAAAAACCAGGCCAACGTTTTGGCGTTCGACAAGTTTACTTGGCAAAATCTTGCCAACAAATCTGGGTGCGTGTAAACCAACCGTTTATACCATGGACAGAAAGCAGTATTTCACAATACAAATTGCTCTCATTCAATATTCATAAACTGTTAAAACTGTTATGTTTATTTTTTATTTGATGGTTTAACGCGCGGCATTTTGAGAACTCCTGCAAGCGATGTTCACTGAACGAATGAAAACAATCGGCATAGCGATTAAAATTGCAAGAGAGACTACTAACAATCAATAAAAGAAATATAATTCGGTGAAACATAAACAGAGACAACAATTTTCATTCAGGAAGACAAGTATTAAAGTGTCCCTAAATATCCTGAATCCTCAAGTTTATGTTTTAAGCCAGCTTCCCGGTGTTTGTTTTTTCAAAGACGAACTCGAGGCAAGAAAATCGCTCAAAGCTTTCTTTTCCGGCTAGAATTATAACTAAAGATTCTTTGGAACATTTTCTTTCTATTTGCGGTGAGAAACTGTCTAAAGGCTTTTTAAAGTTCTGTAAGATTATATCAAACCAGATACTCGGTGAGATCGTTGTCTCAAATCTTACAAACGCGCATAAACTAAATTCCCGCATAAACTACGCTCCACTTCATTAAATTAGATACAAAAAACAAACATGAAATACAATAATTTCTCTGGTTTACCATTCGAGATGCAGCTCCTGAAAGTTATCAGGTAAAGCCAGTATCGCTTCAGACTTTGCAATCCTCTTACGCATCAAGCAAGGTGAAAACGAAAACGATGCCATCCGAAATCGGATTTCCGACTTTGACAAGCGACGTTTTCTCAACCAAAAACCCAATAAACAAACTAGCCATGAGTAACAGAAGACTCCTGATAGCAGCTGAATTTCATTTTGTACATCCAGTGGAAAAAGACAGTTAAAAACATCACAAGTTGACACAAAACTCTGTCAGCTTCAGCTGTTAAAGTAAACAAGATTCAAGATGCTGCATAAATTTTGCGCATGAACTCACCTGTCAAATTTTGACCAATCAGAGCATAAAAATTGGACGTAGAGCGTGACCAACGCGTGACCATTGTGAGAAAAAACAAAAGCAACTGTCTTCCCTGCCTGTAACAGCTGGCTGAATTTTCACGTCCGAGGTCAGTTTGCAATCAAAATTTTAATTGTGCAGCACATAAACACAACATATTTCATATGAATTAAGAAAAAAAATTGAACTTGAGCCTGCGATCACTTGAAAACTAGTTTACTTGTCAGCGGATAACTTCAAAAAATACTTGACCTCGACGGGTCGACACCTGAGCCCGCGATACGGTCAAGTGATACTGGTCAGCGGGTACTCTGTTTTGACAGCTGTCAATTGATCAAAACATTGATGTCCAATATGTGTGCATTATCAGTTTTCCTGTGCTCCCAAACTAGTAAAAGTATGAGATTGAACGTTGTTCGCGATCTAGTAAAACAGTTAAGTGGTCAGCGGACAGCTTCCAAATAAATCACGTCACCTCGATGAGTTGACACATGAGCCCGCGATATGGTCATGGGATACTGGTCAGTGGCTATCCTGTTTGGACAGCTGTCAATTGACCATATTGTTAATGTCCTATATTAAAGATGTGAACTTGCCAAGACACGCCTGAGACACCCCTCATTTCCTTTTGATAGTCTCCCCTACCCCACCCATACAATCTGTAGACGCGTACGTACGTACGTATGTACGTACGTACGTACGTACGTACGCTCGGTCAATCACGTGACAACCAAACGAAAAGAGGTTGACCATATTCCATGGGTATGGGGCTCTGTCCCACGCGCGCTTCGCGCGCGCGGGAGCCCCGCTATAATTATTATGTTAATTTAATCATTTCGAGGAAAAAAGTTTGAATTTTGTCAATTCTAAAAGGATTATTTAAAAGGCCATTTCCGAGTTCCCCCGGGCCTCTGTTTCAAAACGAGGGTAGGTGCTCAGCTCTTGATATTCAAATCACTTTTCATTCTCATGCAAATAAAACTCATTTTCACAAGAAAGGTTGCGCACCTAGCCTCATTTTGAAAGTGAGGGTTTTTGGAACTCGGAAGTGGCCTATTGAAATGGAAAAGTTACAGTTTTGGATATAGAAAATACAAATACATTGTAAGGAGTCTCTTTTTTATTGTGAAAATATTTAATATACATATGTACATATTATATGAAAATGGAGAGAGAATTATTTTGATAAAAACTTTAATACCAAAAATGCACCTAAATATGACTCTTCTTGATTTGTGTGTATCAGCGAAAATGGGTCATTGTGGATGCAAGAAACGGTCCAGGGTTGTCTCACAAACGTCCACGTTTTTATATACCGGATAGAATGAACATATGATTCGAAACTGGATGGTTAAGTAAAGTTAACACATTTAGGAAATCCAGTGAATAATCCACCGAAAGTGGAATCTGGGGAAACATGAAGGCTGCAGAAAGTAAACCGATCAAACTGAGTTTCCATTCATTGTTCCGGGAACTCAACGGATAATTGAGTATCCTCTGAATTTACGAGCTGCGGAAACATGGCGGCAGTTAGCGCTTCCGCAAGAGTAAACCTGACGGAAACGCGAGTATAAGGGATGCGTTTAAGCGTGTCCGCAGAAACTGAAACATGACGGATACACGTGTTTCCCGCAACGGTTAGTTACAATTCCGTCTGCGGATATTCAAGTTTCCGTGAGGTAACCGTTACAAAAATGGAAACGGAAACACCTTTTTGCAACCTGTGTGCGTACCAACCTCACGCGTGCAACTATAACTCAATAGTACGCGTACCATTTGTTGCGAAAACATGATACCTTCACATGTGAAAATAACATGTTATCTTCACATGTGAAAATATCACGGTTGCTGTGACCACATGATAGATCTCGCCTTTTGCAGCCAAAAAATGTTAAAGTGAGGTGGTTTGGGATTTCACTGGTTTTTATTTAATAAATAGAACATAACATGACCGCCTGGAGATACGAAATTTCTCTTCTCGTGTTGAAAAACACATTTACACTACCTACAGTTAGCAAAAGCTATTCGAGGCATGCAGAACTTTGATGTCTTTTCCCATTATTGATGCATTCGATTTTAGAAGTATTGTTATTAGGTGTAAGTTATAAATTATAATTTGAGATCTTTTTGTAAAGTTAGAGTTAGATGTACACTGTAATGTACATCATTATTAATACTAATAATAATAATAATAATAATATGAGAATGCACAGGCTCTGGAAGTGCAGTGCTGTTTTCAATGAGATGGTCTCACAATTATTGAGCGTTAATACAGATTCAGGTTTTGCCGGCTTAATTGCCTGCTTCTAATCAGTCTTACCCTTACTTAAAATCCTGATTCCTGATTTATTTGTATCTAAAACGTTCTATGTATACGTAGTAAAAATA